TATCAGATATGAATTACACCATCTATTCCAAAATATAAGACATAACCATTTTTAATCCATGTACTAAGAAACAATTATTATTACATTGCTGTTTGAATCATCATAATAAATACAATGCATGCACCTAATTATAATTAGAGATTTTGAAAGTGAAAGAGTTAAAAAAATAAACACCATTTGTTTCAGAGAAAAAAACTACTTCTAGCTACAAATCTGAACACAGACCAGATTTATAGTTAGAAGTTAATTTTTTTTAAGAGGAAGGGAGTATATACCGGAAACAACCTGTCCTCCTACTAGTTTATATCTAGCCTACACAGAGAGTTGTTCCAGATCCACCATTTTTGATACCCAGAGATATTAATAAAACTACTAACTGACCACCGGATGCTCTCGACCAGTGGCGAGATATTGTGCACGCAATGCGTGTTGAGAATTGATATGGTCTAGGAATGGGAAGCATAGGGAGCACCAGTCCAAAGTGTGGAGGTATCAGGTCGCGTGTTTAGAAGGGTGGCGCTGACGCAGTATCGATCTTGCTCAACACAGCCCCGTGAGCGTTGGAATAAAAATTGAAAATATACATTTTTTTCCTAACTTTTTGTAATTATATACGTGTTTTCGAAAGAATTGTCAAAATATACGCGTACCGCGGTATGAACGTGCGGGACCGATTCGTTGGCGCGGAGCGGATGCGCGGGACCGCCGGTCCCGCGGCTTGGCTGTGTGCAACCGCGCCATCCCGCAGGCCGGCGCCGCGCGGTAGCGCGGTTCCGCAGCAGGGACATGCGCCACCCGTTACAGCCAACTAAAATTTGCACTGATTTGATTACATGCGCACGTATATATGCTCTGCACGCAATGTATATATGCAGTGCATGCAGCGTGTGTGCGCTGTACCTGGATTCGGTCGCGCGCGGCCGTGCTGCGGAACCGCGCGGTCGCGCGCAGCCAAGCCGCGGGACCGCCGGTCCTGCGCATCCATGCCGCGCTGATGAACCGGTCGCGCATGTCCATACCGCGGTATGCGTATATTTATACAAATCTTTCGAAAACATATATATAATTAAAAAAAGTTAGAAAAAAACGTATATTTTCAATTTTTATTCTCCGAGAGGGTGGCCTTGGCACTTTGGCCGCATAGTCGATCTCTTGCTTAATTATGTGCTCACGACGCGCGTCTGCAAGGTCCAGCCAGCTCCCAGCTTTTTGTTCCCGGCTTATCGTTTCAGGGCTTTTACGAGGTAGCGCATGCTCGTTTAAGATTAAGGATAATAGTAGAGCTCACTTCGTACTATTAGCTCATCTTAAAGCTAACATATATAATAGATTAGCTATAAGGTTGGCTATAACTTTCTTTTTCTCTCTCTATCTCTTACCTATACATTTAATGTATTTACCTAGGAGCTTGTGTTAAGTTAGCTCTTGCATGAGAGCCAATATACTTGATTTTTTTTGTTATCTCTCTTCTCCATCTAAGCTTATAGTAGACTTATATAGCTTAATATTATACTTGCTCTAACAGAACAATATAGAATAAATATGCAATATGAGAGTGATAAGCATTCAATCATTCGTTTATGATTAATATTAAGCAGCTAGCATGTCTAGCTACCTGAGCTGTAATCACAGGGTAAGGTGAAGAAATTTTTGACACATGTATATCTGAATGGAGATCTAAATTTCAGCTTTGGCTTGCCTCTAACTACAAGCTGAAATTACCGTACAATTTGTTACAGAATTGCTTTCTTTCTACCGCCGTAATTTGTTGTTCTTATGAGTTATGTCAGACTGTAGTACTAAGGTCTTTCTTTCGCAGTTCACTGATGTGGCACGGGACCTCGTTGCACCACGTTGGATTTCTGTCGCCGTATCGCGTGCGGCTGCACCTAACCTAGGCTCCTCGTCCCCCCACAGAGCAGAGCAAAACTTCATTGCGGCGAGGGAGCGAGCGGACTGGAAAAAGCGAGGCGCGTGCGCTGTGGGCAGCGTTTCTTTGCCTGCGCGTGCCCTCGCGTCAATTCCCCCAGACAAAATCACCGATTCGCCCTCCAAAAATCCTCTCCCACCAGCGATTTCCTCCTCCCGCCACACCGATTCCTCCGCTCCACCGCGGCAAGGCCGGTGGTGGTGGCCGACACGGCGGGCGGTGGCGAGAGCGATGGTGGTGGCCGACTCCGCCATGGTAGCCAGGGATGCCTCCCGCCGCCAAGTACCGGCGGCCGCGCACGTATTGGCGAGCCGCCGCCAAGAACGAGGGAGAGGAGGTGGCGGACACTGAGGACAAGCGCGCCGAGGAGAGAGCGGGCTGCCACGGCGGACCGGGAGGAGGAGCAGAGGGTGGGGCGGGGAGGAAGGAGGCGAGCTCACGATGGGATGGAGGAGAACGGGAGCAAGGGTAGGTGAAGGAAATAAATTTCCTTCGCTCGCCCGTGCTAGCCGCACCCGAGTCACGCTCATTGTGGGCCTAGTCGCCTTGCACAGTATCTCCATCCAATTAGACCCCACAAAATAGGATCCTTACGCTGTGGGAATAAGTGTCTTTGGGCCTTTTTTTGGGCTAAGCCACGGAGTGCAGTGCTTGCACTGTGCCCTAAATGGTTATAAAACCTACATAAACCTACATATATATATAAAACCTATATATATGCAACTACTAGTAGGTACTGTACTACTACTCCAGTACTTAATAGGATTGTGTTTAGTTCCACGTTAAAATTGAAAGTTTGAAGAAATTAGAATGATGTGACGGAAAAACTAAAATTTCGTATATGTAGGAAAGTTCGATGTGATGAAAAAGTTAGAAGTTTGAAGAAAAAAGTTGGAATCTAAACAGGGCCCTGTGACTGATAGAAGACATACATAGCCCTATGTCAGTGCATGCTCCTAGGCCTGGTTTAGTTCCCAAATTTTTTTTCGAACTTCCAACTTTTTCATCACATCAAAACTTCTCTACAAACTTTCAACTTTTCTGTCACATCATTCCAATTTCAATTAAACTTTTAATTTTGGCGTGAACTAAACACACCCCTAGTCTAAAACTTGCGCCAGTTTGTTCCATGTATAGATCTTGCCCAAATATATCCACTTTGTATTGGGAGAAAGGAGCAGGTGGAATTGTAGGGGGCCGTGCTATTGAGCATCAACACAACAACACAACAGCAGGTGGAACTGTCGTTCCAGATCAACACTACTACAGCAGCTAGGAGTAGGATGCACGGGGAAATTCAGCGTGCGCCCAAATCAGACAGTGGTGACCTTTTGTTGGTGAAGGTGTACAGTTATCTGAAACATCCTTTGGGTTAGGGTAGCTTACATGTAGGTCTGTGTGGGCAAAATCTGCACAGGCCCAACTGGATGAACAACATGTAGAGCCAGCCTTAGCAAACCCAACCTCTAGCTCAATTGTGGGGAGAACATCTTGAGCCTCAACCGCGTCTCGCCCGTATAACAAACATATCATACGAACACTCCCATGTACTAATTAGGACTGGACTGCTACAGCTGTGTAACACAAAACACACATTTAACGTATGTCTTGGTCACAACGCCGTTTATAAGTAGATGTCACGCTTTTAGAACGTATAGTTCCTTTAAAAATACTTTTTTTTTCATCACATCAGAACATAACATTTGAAACCGGAGTATATGAGTCAATAGTAATGGGTCGACCTATCAAATGATTAAAGCACACTTTCAACGTCATTGTTTCACTTTCTACGATTTATTAGGTAACTTAAAAATAATCAGTTAAAAAATCTTTATATATGTTACCCTTAGCGATTTAAAATCAAATACATTGAAATTAACTACAATAAAGAAAACCGAAAAATTAACATCAAAATTAAATATTACAACTTAAAATTTGGCTTACAAATATAATAAGGGCTTTCACAATGTAATGCCATAGCATTCAGGGGGTGTTTGGGAGGGAGGGACTAACCTAACCGTTCCACGTTGGCGAACCAGGGAGATTTCGCGCACACATTTGCATCCAGGCCTACCAAACCTAAAGCACATGTCCAAAGAAAGCCACAGGTTCTTCAATGTTGCCAAAGGCGCGTAGGGCAGGGAGAGTGCGGCCGTGACCTATGGGCTGCTTATCTTCCATCGGTGACTTTAGATTTTATGGACTCTACTTTAGGGCACACACCAGTGTAAAACTTGTGTTCAATTTCGATCTTAGGCTTACCTGGCATGTGAGGTTCGGCAAATGAGATTCTCGCACTGCTATCGCCCTAAGGATAAGTAAACCAGGAGACGGTTACCGAAGTATCAAATATATCAAATAACTCTCTTTTGGCAAGGTCGCATATAGATTTATTTTCAGAAAATAGGACTTACATTTTGAAATCTACAACTAGCACCCGGTAGGTAATAATGAAGGTTTAGTTTGTAAAGTATACTCCCTCCGTCCCCGTAAAAACTAACATACAGTAGAATATGATATTTTCTATTACTATAATAAATCTGGATATATCTATGTTCAGATTCATCGTAAACGTTACTTCTCGTTATAAATTGATTTTTTTTTATGGGAGCGAGGAGGAGATAAAAAAAGGTACTACCTCCATCCCAAAATATAATAATTTTTGGGTAGATGAAACATATCATAGCTTGTTCAGTACTATATATCCCATCCAATCAAAATTGTTATGTTTTGAGAGAGAGTGAGGCCATGTTTAGATTCCAAATTTTTTCTTCAAACTTTTAACTTTTCCGTCACATCGAATTTTTCTACACAAAAACTTTCAATTTTTCCGTCACATCATTCCAATCTCTTCAATTTTCAATTTTAGCATGGAACTAAACACAGCAGTAGTAGGAGTTTTAAAACCGGAAAAGAAAAAAAAATCCGAGGCGTCTTTCTCCGTTTCTCGAAGCCGCCTCCTCCTCCGGCGCCGCTAGCTTCTGGGAAATTGCGTGGTGGAGACGAGCACGCTACGGACCCCCCTTCGACCCAACGGAACGAACCGTCAAGCCGCGGGATTCCTTCCCCACCCTCCCACGCCTCCAGCTATAAATACCGCCCCCTCCTTCCTCCTCTCCTCCCCACGCACACCCCGCTGCTTCCGATCAAATCGATCCCCAAATTCCCCGATCCCCGCAGCCGCTCCTGCGACTCGTAGGTCTCGTCAAGTCGGCGGCGACGACTTTGATCTCTATTCAAGGTATGTATATACGGTGCCGCCGCCTCCTCCTGTTCTGGTTTTGATCTGTATATAGGCGATTGATTGGTTTGGTGGTTGGGAAGGTGAAATCGATCTCGGGCTAGATCTGATCGATTGTGTAGCTGGATGGTTGATCGGATCGTTTGTTTTGGTCCTGGATGCTCGATCGGATAGTTCCGTGGTAATTTTTGTGTAGATCTGTTTGTTAAATCATGATTTATTTGGCTTGCCCGGTTGTCCCGTGCAAATCGTGCGCTAATTTTACCTGTGAGTATAAGTTGTGGCTCTGTGTGTATTTGTTCCTGATGCTCGTGTGGTCTTGATAAAAGCTTGGGCATATCTGCTGATCCATGATGTACTCTTAATTTTTGCCCTAGCAAACTTGATGCTGTTCGTGTATTCATTGAATTCCTGATGCTCGTGTCCTGTGGCCTCCGTAACCTTTCACTTGTCTGCTGATCCATTATGTACTGACTTAAGCCCTACAGCCCTAGCATACTTGATACTTTTATAGGTGCGCATTGTTTGAGTTCACAAGATTCAATTTAGTCAAGTTGCAGTAACATGATTGGAATTAGAATTCTTCATGATCCTGTGAAGCACCCAATCTAGCTTTGTCAGATTTGCATGTGGCACTTCCCTGAGTTAGATCAAAGATATGCTCTGCTGTATATCTTTTTTATGCTTTGTAATCTAATATAGAGAAGTACAGAACAACCATTGCTACGTTTGACATTAACTACAACCTTCTGTTATCTGTTAATTTTTTGTAGTTTGGTGCTTAGAAGAATCTTTTTTTTTGTTAACATTTGTTTGCTTGATCCTGGTTCCCTTATAATCTTGTATATACTGGAGACTTACCATGGTTGATATACATTCTTGCAGATGCAGATCTTTGTGAAGACTCTCACTGGCAAGACCATAACCCTTGAGGTTGAGTCCTCGGATACCATTGACAATGTAAAGGCCAAGATCCAGGACAAGGAGGGAATCCCACCGGACCAGCAGCGTCTCATCTTCGCTGGCAAGCAGCTTGAAGATGGGCGCACGCTTGCTGACTACAACATCCAGAAGGAATCCACCCTCCACCTTGTCCTCCGCCTCCGGGGAGGCATGCAAATCTTTGTCAAGACCTTGACTGGCAAGACTATCACCCTTGAGGTTGAGTCTTCTGATACTATTGACAACGTTAAGGCAAAGATCCAGGACAAGGAAGGGATTCCCCCGGACCAGCAGCGTCTGATCTTTGCTGGCAAGCAGCTCGAGGATGGTAGGACCCTTGCTGACTACAACATCCAGAAGGAGTCCACCCTTCACCTTGTTCTCCGCCTAAGGGGAGGAATGCAGATCTTCGTGAAGACCCTTACTGGCAAGACCATTACGCTTGAGGTTGAGTCATCAGACACGATCGACAACGTGAAGGCGAAGATCCAGGACAAGGAGGGCATTCCCCCAGATCAGCAGCGTCTTATTTTTGCCGGCAAGCAGCTGGAGGATGGCAGGACCCTCGCTGACTACAACATCCAGAAGGAGTCCACCCTTCACCTTGTTCTGCGCCTAAGGGGTGGAATGCAGATTTTCGTCAAGACTCTCACTGGCAAGACTATTACCCTGGAGGTTGAGAGCTCAGACACCATTGACAACGTGAAGGCGAAGATCCAGGATAAGGAGGGCATCCCCCCGGACCAGCAGAGACTCATCTTCGCTGGTAAGCAGCTGGAGGATGGCCGCACCCTTGCCGACTACAACATTCAGAAGGAGTCTACCCTACACTTGGTGCTCCGCCTCAGGGGTGGTATGCAGATCTTCGTCAAGACTCTTACTGGCAAGACCATTACTCTGGAGGTTGAGAGCTCCGATACCATCGACAATGTGAAGGCTAAGATCCAGGACAAGGAAGGTATTCCCCCAGACCAGCAGCGCCTGATCTTCGCCGGCAAGCAGCTGGAAGATGGCCGTACCCTCGCCGACTACAACATTCAGAAGGAGTCTACCCTCCACCTGGTGCTCCGCCTCAGGGGTGGTCAGTAATCATTGATTGATGGAATTGCTGCTGTACTGTTATCCTGTGTCTGCATTATCCTCGTGAAAACTTTATTTGTGCTGTTAGTGGACCATCGAGTCCGTTTAAATGTGCTGTACTGCTGTCCGAACATTTGCTGGGTCATAGCAGTTTAAACTAATTAATAAGTAAACTATTAATCTGCGTTGCTAAATTTGCTTATAGTTCTGCACCCATTACAACTCTTCATTCAAATTTGCCTACATTTCAGATTAAAGTGCCTGCGTGCTGCTACATCTATTTCTTGATTTATTTTATTGACTAGTAGATCAGAGTGATATAAGTCCTATTGGGTACACTGGAGTGAAACAATGGCAGATTCTTATCATGCTAATCACCAAATGGATCGTTTGGACTTTGTAGCCCTCAAATTATTAGGGCGTTTTCTGGATGATATCATGAGGGTGTTTTCTGGGGGATGGTGCTGCAAAGCAAACTTTAGGAACATGTGACTCAATTTTTTTTAGAATGGGCAATATATGTCCAATGGTTCTATTACGTCATTTTCCCGTCTATTTACACAATCGCGTTCTTTGAATGCTAGAACTGCAACTTGATCATGCTGGAGCTCTCTAAGCTTATAGTTTTACAGCTGAAAAACAGAAAATAAAATGCTAATGTTTAGTATTCAGATCATTGCTTTTGATGAGTTCAGTTTTCCTCATCAAAGTCTATCCTACAATTACTAATGATCTCAACAACAGTTAAGACTTTGTTAGTGATAGGAATACACGAGTTATCAGTGCTGTGTTTAGTTCCACGACAAATTCGGAAGTTTGAAGCCTTGAAGCCTTGAAACTTCAAAGGGGGGTAACACGAGTATTGTAATGGCAGTGTCTGACAAGAGGAGGGGGGGTGGGGGGGGGGGGTAAACTTGCTTGAAGCCTTGAAACTTGATTCGGTCAGAAGACTGAGATCTGCCGCTGTGCTTCCTACTCAATCTCTAGACTGTTTACTGAATCAACGGTTCAAGCAGTAGATTTGTAAAATAAGATTGTATAAACAAAATATCATACAAAAACTAAAATCTTATATTTCAGAATTTTTATCCAAATTTTGAATGTTTTCGTCCCAGGGGTATTTTGGTCATTTTGGCAAATTTGTACAGTACTAACGGAGACTAACCAGACGGCGATGGTAAATTGTAGAAGTTAAGCAAAAGTCGATGGCATATTGTATAACGTGATAAAGTTAGTGGTAAATCATAGACATGTGACAAAGTCAGTTGTATAGTAGAGATAGAGAAGAGATATAGATTAAAATCAAAACATAAAATTAAAACCGACTCAAACACGAATGACAAACCGTAGAAACATCTTCAATTTTTATAACTGACTCAAACACGGATGACGGACCACGAAAACATCTTCAATTTTTATAACCGACTCAAATACAGATGACGGACTGCGGAAACATATTCAATTTTTATAATAGTAGAGATATGGTTTAGTTAATGTAAAATTCACTGTGTAAAATTTGCTTATATATATATTTTGTTAGAAAATCATGAGATACAATTAAGAGTCCAATCGTCTTAAGTTAGTATGCGAGTTCTTTTAAAGAGAATTATTATACAATTCCTTATGTATTTGAAAACGAACGAACTAAAAAACCGACTTAAATACGGATTTGTATTTCCAAAAATGAACGAACTTAGAAACCGACTCATACACGGATGACGTACCAAAGTACCGGCAAAAATATCTTCAATTTTTATAATAGTAGAGATACATTATTTTTCTTTCAAATAATCGTACGTATGTAATTATTTCCATCTTACGTACATAAATATTTCCACTAAACAGATTATCTCGGATATAGAAAGGATAAACTTTATAAATAGATCTAATCTGACGGTGTAAAATAATGGGTCCACCAATTTAAATAAAAATCGACGGTGGGATTGTAGAATGCCACATGGCGACCTAGGAGCGCTAGTAGAAGCGCCATGTGGCGACTTAGAAGCGTTTATAGGATGTTTAATGGACTTTTAGTATTATATAATAGATTGCTTAAAATTGAGACAATCATCTACAAAAGAAAGCAGAGCGCTAAAAATTAGATTACAAACAACACTTTTTAACTGGGCGTTTAATTACTTTAATTCTTTCACATTCGAATTTCTGACAGTCTGACACTGACACTGACACTGTAAAGATCAAATCATATCATTTTAACTGTTTTCACCATGGCCTAACCCTAAAATTTTTCACCCTGTCACATTAAACGTTTGAACACCTATATGAAATATTAAATATAGGCTAGAAAATAATTAATTGCACGGTTTGCGACTAATTTGCGAGACGAATCTTTAAGCCTTATTGCTCCATGATTTGACAATGTGGTGCTACAATAAATATTTGCTAATAACGGATTAATTAGGCTTAATAAATTCGTCTCACTGTTTACTGACGGATTCTGTAATTAATTTTTTAATTTGTGCCCGAACACCTCATGTGGCACTATATAATATCCGATGTGACACGCCAAAACTTTACACCCCTGTATCTAAACACCCCCTTATATATTAACAGTAGGGCAATTCATGCACGGCCATCTCCTTTTCACAAGCCAACCAGCTCCTGCACCTTTGCCTTGCCCATAGTAGGATCAGCACAACAAAACTGCAGAAACTTACCAGTGTTCTTATGTTGCCAGGAGAAAAAAAAATGTTGTGGAGGGACTAAGATATAAGTTGCATCTACTGCTCAATGGTGAGATCTTCTGAGAATAGGATGCATCAGGAATAAGAGTGGACACAATTCTGCATAATTCATATGTTTGATGGGATGGGCAAGTCCGTCAGTAGGTTCTCCTATATGCTTGTGTGGTGTCCTCGTCAATCTTATTCTTGGTCACTGCGCTGCAGCCTAAAGGTAGAGAAAAAAAGAAAAATTGCTATGCATATGATTATTCGTACGATCTTTACACAATCAAACACGGGCGGCACCGAGTACATACCGTGGAGTGCCTATGATGCAGCCCAAAAGTTCATATCTGACTCATTGCCTTCGTTCGCCCCTTTGCTCTATATCCAAACAAATATACACACCTTGTCCTATTTCAGAAAGAAAAAACAAACCTTGTCCGACATTGGTTCATAGATGAGATGCATCTTGTTCTAATTGCAGACATTGGAACATATTTATATGGTTAATTTGCTTAACCAAATCGTATGTATAGCAGCGCCGAATCAGATGTCTCCTAAATGTAGCTTCCGCTGGTTGGACAAAAAGGAGTGAAAGAACGAAATATTACAAAAATGAAACAAAGACCAGATGCAGCCTTTTCATCTCCTCCCCTCTAAATTTGTAATATTCTAACTCGTTTGATTTACAATCACATTTTTACATGAGACAAATTAATCAAAATGGGACACAGGCACCAAAAGGGAGAAAAAAACAGAGCACTAAAAAAATGATTTTAGTGCACAACATGTCTTTAGTACAATCCTTGCTATTGAAGTAACAAACCTAATCCATCCACGTCTTTACTACAATCCTTTTACATTCAAGTTCTGAAACTAAAGAACAATCCATACTTGCCACTCCTTTTTACATACCAGCCATGCACCTGCACCTTGCCTATAAATACCAAGCTTCTCATCAGTAGGACCAACACAACTACACAACATGTCTGTAGAACTTGTTACTGTCTCTTGTTGTTAACAAGAGAGAAAATCTAGGAGAGGGGATTAGAGAAACATGGAATGTGTTGCCCAATAGCAAGATCTCCTGAGAATGTGATGCATTAGGAATGCGAGTGAAAGAAACGGAACCTCAGAAAGCTCATGGAAACCAGATAAGTGAACTGCGAACCCTGCTACTATGAGCAACACTTCGCAGAAGATGCCTACCATGCCGGTTTTCTCTCAATCCATCCTTTGGTCACCACAGCACATGGCATAAACTGGTGGATACTTTTGATAAGAAAGTAGATAGAAATTTTTTTGATTATTCACCGCAGATCGTATCATGTTCAATGGTCATTGAAATTTTACATGTTTTACTATTCTTTAAAATAATTTGGATTTATCAGAAAAAAAAACCAAAGAAATAGATTCACCATTTCATTATAGTATCGTCAAAAAAAGTTGGGGGGCTCATTTACACAGTTTCTTCAATCTCCAGCCATTTAGGGATTTAGTTTATCATTCATGGTGAAAAAATCTAAGGGGATACTCTGGCGGTATCCATGGGTCTTGTGAGTGTAGGGGGACCCCCCCTGCATAGGGTTGGCAACGGGACGGGTCGGGTGCGGGTTGGGCTGGAACGCCCCGCCCCCACTCCCCGACTTCTCCTCTCGACTCTGGCCCCGCAGAGGTGGTCGGGTGGAAAACGCCACCTGCCCCCGTCCCCGCAGGGGACACGGCGGGTGAGCGGGGCCCCACAACACCCGGCTGGGCCGGTGGACGGCGAGCTGAACGACAATAACGAGGACAGCGAGCTCGACAGCTCGACGGCGACGAGGACGACGAGCTGGAAGATGACGAGGCGAGCCGCCGCTGCCCGCAGATGGCTGTTGCCGCCGTTGTTAGGAAACGATAGGCGAACAAACGATAAAGAACAATAGATCAATCACAAAAGACACGAGATTTAACGTGGAAAACCCTCCCAAAACATGAGAGAAAAAACGACGGGCGCCAGCCAGCAAAATATCTTCACTATATCTGAGGTGAGGTTACATCGCCGCACGGCGGCTTACAAGAGGTATATATATAGTGGAACCCTAAAAGGGATGATGATCCGTACTTTTCGCTCCGCTACGGCAGAAGCTGGCCTTTATTAAGTGCAAATGAATTTGGATCACAACTCAACAGCCGTCGCCATGCCTGGCCGTCGACGCCGCCGTCCATGCCCTGGCCACCGATGCCGTCACCTGCGCCTGGCCGCCGCCGCAGTCTGCGACTTGGCCGACGACACAGTCCCCCGCGCCTGGCCGCCGCCGCCACCCGAGACTTGGCAGCCTACGCCGTCACACGCGCCTGGCCACCGCCGCACCAGTGACTTGGCCGCTGACGCGCCGTCGCCCGCGCCTGGCCGCCGCCGCCGGCGCCCGCGACTTGGCCGCCTACGACGTCGCCCATGCCTGGCTGCCGCCGGTGCCCGTGACTTGGCCGCTGACGCACTGCCGCCCGCGTCTTGGCCGCCGATGCCGCCGCCGG